CGGTCTTGGGAAGGCGAGGATGGTGATGTGCGCATGCGCATGGTGCCATGCGGCTACAGCGGCCACCCCGCCAGACGGGGGCTTCCGGCAGCCTCCGGGAGGTGGCGGGGCCTGAGCGGATCTGTGCAGGGTGAACGCGAGACTTAGTGCGTGAAGGACGCGTGTCCCGGGCTGCCTGGCACCCCAGGGGTAGGTCAGCACTGCGAGGGCTCTGCGAGGTCGCGGGGGAGGAGCTGGATCGTCAAGGGCCTCGGCACTGAGCTAAGACGATGGAGCCTTGGCCCTGGCCGGTGGCTCAGCTGATTGGAGCGTCATCTCTGTACACCAGGAGGTCGTAGGTCTGATCCCCTGTCCGGGCCTGGTCGGGGCACGTACGGGAGGCACCCGACCGATGTTTCTCGCGTTAACATTTCTTTCTCTCTAAAATCAATGAACATATCCTTCGGTAAGGATTTTTTTTTTAAAAAAAGGGTGGAACATTATCCCGAAAACCTGAGGGTTTGAGGAGGAGGATAATGAGATAAGGATTCCGGAAGCTCTCAGACTGCAGTGTGGGCCGGTCCCGATGGGGCAGAGAGGCCGGCGAGGAGGGGAGCCCGGGCAGAGGTGGGAGAGATGAGGGTGCAGAAATCATCGGGAAACCCGCCTAGGGGTCCGAAGCGGCAGCGCTGCAGTTGCGGAGGGCGATGGCGGGAGAGGGTGTACGGTCAGCAGGGTTGGGGCTCGGGGCAGGGGCACGGGACCACGGGAAGAGGTCAGGTGGGAGGACAGCTCTGCTTTGCACACGTCCGGTGTGAGGGGCTGCAGAGGACCCTGGGAACCATATCCAAGATGCTGGACGCCCCTCGCTGTCCTGGGTGAGCGTCTCCAGAAGCAAGGGCCTTCTGTGAATGCAAGTACTTTATTACAGAAGTGCTCCCAGGAGAAACAGGAAGGGAGGAAGCCAGGCCAGGGTGCAATGTCAGGCAGAGTCCCCCAGAGGGTGGCCTCCCCTGATCCCATGGGCGAGTTCTGGTGTCCCTTACACCTCTAAGTTACCCCAGCCTGCGGCAAGGGGCCTGGGCCATCCTACTCCCATTGCTGTGCAGCGGGAGCTTGGGGCTGCCCTGGGTGGGGAGGGAGTGAATCAGCAGGTCTTTGTGCACGAAGGTTGGAAGGTGGTCTTCCGAAAGACAGTGGCAGGCATGGCTCATGGAAGCAAAAGCCCTCTGAAGGAGGGTGGTGGCGGCGGTGCAGAGACAGCAAAAGCCATCGGAGGACATCTGGGCAGAGCGCCACCGGGTCTGATGACCCCACGGCATACTCACCCCCCGGGACTGCTCTGCCAAGCAGGTGCACCCGCACATTGCAGATAAGGACACCGAGTTCAGAGAGGTTAGGTGACCTGCCCGGGGACACACAGCTAGAGAATGAGGGTCAGCCCTGGAACACAGGGCCTGCAGGTTTCACACTGCATCATACACCTCACAGCTGCTAGAGCACCCACTGCCCTGTCCACCGGACAGCTGCTTGGCTTCGAGCAGCCCCAGGAGCTGTTTTCATTTCCAGTTTGCGGGGGAGGAGGCAGAGGCGCATAGTCACCAGGTGTGGGCCACAGAGCTAATAAACAAAGAAACTGGGATTTGAACCCAGGTCCACCTGACTTCAAACCCCATCACAGATACCATAGCCCCTGGCTCCAGGCCTGTCAGGGGAGTCACCATGCCACCAGATGCCCCGAAAGTCTTGGAAAATTTGTGGGGCGAGGTCAGGGAGAATATTTTAGGTTCCCCGGGGGTCACGTCATCGCCTTTGGCAAGAAGACGGACAAAGCACAGCCCGGAGCCTGCGCAGTACAGGCTGCCTTGGCCGCCCGCTGGCCCGGGAAAGAGGGCTGACTGAAAGGGTAATTCTGCAAACAATGCTGAGAAGCTGACTGTGGCAGTGCATTACCATGTCAAAAGGAGTTATTTTTATCCCTTCCTGTGTTCTGGGTCCTTCAGGAACGCTGCACACAAGAAGAGGTGGAGTGGGATATGCTTTTGCATGAACCAAGACCGCAGGCGCAGATGGGGTGCATGGGTGTGCACGCACACGTGTGTGTGCGTGTGTGTGCGTGCCTCCATCCCTGCCTGCTTCTCCGCTCGATGAAATGCATGATGCAGTCACTGCGCCCTGCCTCCCTGGGGGTGTTCCCAGGAGCCTGAGATGCTGCATTTTCCCCGCAGACCTGCCAGCCCAGCATGTAGTGGGAGGAACTGACCTTAGGGAGACCTCCCTCAGAGCCCGAGGTTGGCTTGGACCTAAGAGAAATGGGACATGGAGTGGGTGGCCATCCCCAGGTACCTTCCTATGGAAAGGCTGACTGGGACGGGCCCTGTTACATGCCACCGTTTGGACGTACACACCTGATACAATTTGTCAGCTATCGACGAAGCTGACACACTCGGTGCCAAGCACGCTCATGCAGCCAGCACCCCGATCAGGAAAACAGAGCGTGACCAGCTCCCCCCACCGCCGGAAGTCCCTTCTGGTCCCCTGCCAATCACTCCCCCACCAAGGTACTCTCTCCTGGCTAGTAACAGCACAGATGAGCTCTGCCTGCTTTTGTATGTTATATACAAGGAATTGTACAGGTGCAGTCTGAAGGGGTGATTATAAACTCCTATAAAGCAAATGATAGGTTTGTTGTCTGGGGCGCCTGTAGTTTAAAGGGCTCTTTTGGTGAGGTCTTTTGTAGTTGGATTAATTGTCCTTGGACCCAAGCCTCTGCACACTGAGGTTTCTTACTACTGAGCACATCTTTCAGGATGAGGCATCCACTTGGGGTTCTGGGAACTTGCCCTCGTTGCAGGCAGAGGGTCAGGGAGGGCTCCCCAGGCCTGACACTGAGTTGTCAGGAACCGAGGCCACTTGTGTTTCCTCTTGTCCTGGAGTGCTGATGCTCAACCTCAGCTGCAAAAAGTCCGGACGCTGGGGTCCCACCGGGGTTGTCCTCAGGGTCGGCCTGCAGGGTGTGAAAGGAAAAGTTACTCTGATGCGTGTTGCAGTGGTAAGGCTGCCTTGCTGGGGCGGCGGGGACGGGGGAGGGGGGGAGGATGAGGACAGTGGGGTTTAGCCGCAGGGGAGAGAGTCTGGGGCCAACACCAGAAACAGCCAGGAAAAGTGGGGATTCATAGCCAAGCAGCAGGGTGAGGGACCTCAGTGGGTGGGCGGGAAGTTACGAGAAGTGCAGCGTCATTCTTTGCTACACAGACCTAACCGTTTGCTTGCTGAAGACGCATCAGGCGATCAGACAGGAGTTTATCAGAAGAGGAATTGCGTCAGATATTGAGGGTGATCGGAAATGGATGGGGGATTCTGGCTAAACCAGCGGGGTAAGATTCCTGGATTCTTGCTCACATTGGACCGTGCAGATGGGGGCATGGGAGTTCGAAAGTCGAGCCTCATCAGCAAGAGGGTGGAGAGGGACCTGACTAAAGTTCGGTCAAGGGCACGCACAGTGGAGGGCTATGTCATCTGGGGAGAGAAGGTTCTGGCATTAGAACGGCCTTGGGGATGCTGACGTGAGGAAGGAGCCAAACGATGCATTTGCCACCCAGATGCCGAATTAAGCCCAGGGGCAGGACAGGGGTCACTTCTCTCATCTCCTCCAGTGACAGCCCGGCCCCTCTGGACCAGAGATTGTTAGGGAGATGATGGAGTGGGGTGAGGAGGAGGAGGAGGGTGAAACGAAAGAAAATGGTGTGGCCTGGGGGAGAGTTGCTTATTATCTCTAAGCTGTTTTTATTTTTTATTTATTTTTAAAAGATTTTATTTATTTATTTTTAGAGAGGGAAGGGAGGGAGAAAGAGAGAGAGAGAGAAACATCAATGTGCGGTTGCTGGGGGCCGTGGCCTGCAACCCAGGCATGTGCCCTGACTGGGAATCGAACCTGTGACACTTTGGTTCGCAGCCCGCACTCAATCCACTGAGCTATGCCAGCCAGGGCTCTAAGCTGTTTTTAAATCTATAAAGTGGGGTATGGTAATAATAATACCAAGCCCATAGGTTTTCTGGGACTGTCAAACCAGGTAAAACATTTAAGCCATGCAGCATGGCAATGGGCACGTTGCAAACGCTCAACAGAATGTCACCATTATCATTATCAAACGTTGCCGCAGAAGGAGTGCTTGCGACTCTCCTCATCCTCGATTGAGATGTGTGTGCTCACCTGAGCCCGGCCAGCTGAGAGCAGTGACATGACCTTTGAGCCAGATGGGCCTGTCCCTGGAAACTAGTCCAGGGCCTTCGGGGGCCACAGCCAGGAGAACGAGGGCCTGGGGACAGTGGGACTTCAGGGTGTGACCAGCCAGCATTGGGTCTGCCGCCCACCTTGGGGTAAGAGCAGAGGAGGGGCCGCCCCGCCCCACACTGGCCCGTGTGAGCCTTGCCAGTTGGAGGCAGAGGAACTTTCCTCGAGAAAAATAATGACCCTCTTCCAAGAACTCAGTGCAGGGTGGTGGTGGCGAGCCAGGACCCTGCACTGGTGGTGAGCCAGTGCAGGGTGGTGGTGGCGAGCATGTTGTGGAATTGTGGAGAGATCCGCTTTCCTGCAGCTGGAAATTTAAATAACCGCAGTTCCGAGCACTCGCTTTGCTTGGGTCGTGATGAAATCAGAGTAAAGGGAACTCAGGATGCAGCTGGTTTAGTGGGGAGTTCAAGGCCAGCCACTCACATTCCATTCCAGTGCAGCGGAAGAGACCTCTGACCTCGACCCAACGACAGGCTTCGGGCCGATGTCCCGTGTTCGCCAGAGGATGCCCCTGCACAAGTTCCTCTGGGCTTGTCGCGCTCTGTCGCTTCGTTGTACATTCTACAGAATGTAAAGAATACCCAGTCCTTTCGTCTGACGTTCGTAAGGACTCTGTGTTTTCTATATCCAGGGTGATACTGTCTTCACGGATAGTGTAGATGTATTGAAGATACGCTCATTTTTACCTCCTTCTTTTTCAATTTCCGTTTTGTTTCAGTGGCGACCTGTCCCTCACACGGCTCGGAAGAAGGTGAGCCTATCTCCAGCTTCAAGGAGAGACCTTCATTCCACAACCCCAATCCTTTCCCATGAATACAGTAAATAGTGAAGTAAAGGACACGTGACTCAGTTTTGGCCAATGAGAAGTGAGCAGTTTGCTGGCTGTCACCGGGAACATTATCTTTGCTCCTCAGAGTCAGCCTGAACATTTCGTTTCTGTGTCTGGAAGGGGACCTTGGAACTGCCGCTCTGATCTTGCTACTAACCCGGTGATAAAATCCGTCGAGATGGCAGAATGCAGCGATGGAAAGAACCTGTGTCCTGGGCGACACTGCTGAGCTTCTGCGCCTGCTGAGTGAGCCCGACCCGTGGGCCTCCCGTTCCTGAAGGACTGATGTCCTGAACTGCTTGGCGTTTTCTGTTATTGGCAGCCCAAAGCATCCTAAATGCTGTGTGAGTATCCTGGGGCTCAGAAGGTAAGTGAATTGCTGACGGTCCCCTGGCTAGTCGGCGGTCGAGACCAGCTGAAACCTATTATTTTCCCAGTCTTTGTTCAGCTTTCGGCTCTCCTCTATCCCAGAGTGAGGACTTTCCTCTTCTGAAATGAATCACCGGCTACGCCATCATGGAGTCGAGGGCCTAGACTCAATGGCATCTCATTGACATCTCATTCTTCCTCAGGGAGGTTCGGAAAGCAATGGCCGGTCACCGTCCCAGCAGCAGATGGAGGTTTCACGTTCTCACTGAAACCAAGCGTGGGTCCTCCGCGGGGCAGACACTGAGGTCCTGGCTATCTCCCGGCTTTCCTGACTCTCTGAGGTCACCCCCTCCGCCATCTCTGCTGAGATGCCTGCCCTGCACCTTTCTCAGCCCAGGTATTATCCATTGCAACTTCCCGTGGCTGCGACCCACGCAGAACTGGCCTGCCTGCCATTGCTCTGGACATCACGGGAGCATTTCCCTGCTTTCATTTCCCTGCCACAATGCCTGTTTTACTCACCTGTCATGTCAGGATGTCTGTATCCACAAGCATCATGGCTTTGTTCCCCCACTTAGTGAGAAGTCCCACCTTTGGGAAGAATATGGATCAGTAGTACCCAGATCTACACCTGGAGGACCTGCCTTGTAGCTGTTGTCCCGTTTCCAGCTAGCTGTGTGACAGCAGGTGAGTCACTCTCCTTCTCGGGCCTCTGTCTACTCATTTGTCAACATATGATCTCAAGCATCTCTTCCAGCATTCAAATGGCGCGTTATTTCTCTCTTCTAAAAGAGGAAAGAACGAGGGCATTATTCAGCCCTTGGGCACCAGCGTGCACACACACACACTCTCTTTGCTGAAATAGGTAAGACTGATGTTGCCAATCTCTGGCATCTTCTCAAATGCTGTGGGCAAATGGGACCCACACAGCACTCTCTCCTCCTCCTCCAGCACTAAGGGACATGCTAGTTGTATTCATATCTTCCTGCAGCATGCCCGGATAAAGATACACTGAAGCATTGTCCAGGCTCCGAATTCCAGGAAACATGGCTAGTTGGTTCCTTTTGAGACACCACCTTTTAAGGAGGAAAAGTCCTATACATGGACGGGAAACCCTGCATTGGTTTCTGCAATGGTTTTGAGTCACTGGCTTCCTGGAGTGGGCTGTGTTCTGTGACACAGAAAAGAAAGAGCTCTCCCCTTCTGCCGGCCTCCCCTTTTGTTAGACTGTTTACACTGCGTGCTCCTGGCTTATTAGTCAGAATGGGGCTCTGGGTTTATTGGAGAGCGTACAGCCTCTGTCACAGCAGCAGAGCACGAAAGGACGGCCAGGGCACTCAAGTCCAAGTGCAGGGTAACTGTGGAGGCTCGAGCCCCAGAAATCCACATAATAACTGGTTTTGACCCAAACTTGCCTCCCAGACGGAAGACATGGAGCTGCCCGTGGGGTAAGGTTCCGGGGCTCTGTGGGGAGGGAAGGCCCCAGTGCTCGAAAACAATTTTCCGCACCCTGGTGACCTTGTGCTTTCAGAGGTTCGTTTCTTGGGTTCTGTAAGGCGGGCCTAGTGGAAATAGCCTCGGCACCCGCAAGTGAGAGACTCTGGTTGCATTCGGGAGGAGAAACTGAGTGGGAGCAGAGGGTAGGACAGGCAGGAGGAAGCAGAAAGGCACTAAAGGACGATGCTGAACTCCAGAGTAGAGTTTATACGCACCCGGACACACATGAACGGGATCAGTCCCCAGTTTATGTTCTGCCTAAAGGAGAGGCAGCGACACGGAGGCAGGTGTGCAGGGTCCGGTTTGCTCCTTCTCTTACCAGCGTGGGGACCGGAGAGAAGGAGAGCTCATTCATTCGTCCATCCCTTCATCCATTCGTCGTGGTAGACAGCTTTCAACGCTGCACACCCTCCGTGTCTTCCATCGGGAGCTGGGTTTAGTTTGCCCTCCACTGGATGTTGGGGCAGCCTGTGACTCAGTTTGACAAGTGGGATGGGATGGAAGTGACAGCATCCCTGTCCCAGGCCCAGCCTTCAGGAGCCTGCGCCATGTGGTGAAGGAGCTCAGGCCCACGTAGGGGATGACTCGAGGCCACTCGGAGAGGGAGAGGCCCTGTGCAGGCGCCAGATGCACGAGCAAAGGCTTCTGGGACCTTCCTGCCCAGCCCATCCACACGTGCAGGCGAGTGAGTGACCCCAGCCAGTGCCACATGGCACAGAAAAATCACCCAGCTTTGAACACGACCCCAAGTTCAGGGCCCGCGGAATCACGGCGTGTTAATTGCTATGGTTTTAAGCCACTCTGTTTTGGGGTCATTTGTCATCCAGCCATAGGTAACTGGACATTTGTGACGTGTGTTTGGCAGCTATGTTTGAGGGAGGTTCCCTCTTATCCCAGTTTTCTAAAATAAAGTTTGTGATAATACATAGGAGTTGAATTTGTTCGATGACTTTTTCTGCCTTGATTGAAAGAATCATGTGATTGCTGTTCTCCTTCAGTCCATTAGCCTTGCATCTGCTCTGAGATTTCTTACAGTTTTCCAGCAGAGGTCTTGTACCTTGTACATCTTTCATCAAACTGATTTCTAAATATTATGGCTTTAATGCTACTATGAATGGTCTCTTTAAAATGCCTATCTTCTCATTGTTTGTGACAGTATATACAAATAAAGTTGATTTTTATATATTAACCTTGTATTTTTGTAACTTCGCTTAACTCCCCTGTTCCTTTTAATAATTTTTAAAAAGATTCCTGTGGGCTTTCTACATACATATTGCATTGTCCACAAATGGAGATGTCTTTACTTCCTCCTGACCAATATTTATGGCTTTTATTTCCTTCTCTTGCTTTCTATTGCACTTGCTGTGACCTCTAGGACGATGGTGAGTGGGAGAGGCGAGGTGAGCCTCCTCGCCTCGCTCCTGCTGGAGGGGGAAAGTGCCCATTCTTTCACCACGAAGTACCACCTAAGCTTCAGATCTTTTAAAAGATTTTATTTATTTATTTTTAGAGAGGGAAGGGAGGTGGAGAGAGAGAGAGAAACATCAATGTGTGGTTGCTGGGGGTCATGACCTGCAACCCAGGCATGTGCCCTGACTGGGAATCGAACCTGCGATGCCTGGTTTGCAGCCCGCGCTCAATCCACTGAGCTGCGCCAGCCAGGGCAGCTTCAGATTTTTCACAGATGCCCTCTATCAGGTCAGAAAAGTTGCCTTCTATTCGTCATTTGCCGAAAGATTTCATTTTGAATTTTGTCAAATACATTTTCTTTCATGAGATCTCGCATTTTCCTCCTCCTTGATCCTGCTCCTGGGGTGGGTCACAATGTCGCCGGCCTCCTCTGAGACGGTCCCCGGGCGTCCCCTCAACAGGCAGAGGCCAGGGCACGTCCCTCCTGAGATTAGGTCATAAAAAGGCTAGGCAGCTTCCCGCACTCACTGGCTGCGGGAAAGCCAGCTGCCGGGCTGTGAGCGGCGCCCTGGCGAGAGAGGCCCACAGGCGGAAGGAGGGAGGCCTCCGCCAACGGCCAGAGGAGAACAGAGGGCTCCCGCTCAACGGCCCACAGACGGAATCTTGCCAACGAGCACGCGAATGCTCTCGGAAGCAGATCCTTCTTCGGTCAAGCCTCCAGACAGGACCCCCGCCCTTGGACGGAAGCCTCATGAGAGACCCTGTGCCAGAGGACCCAGTTAAATGACGCCTGGTTGGCTCACCCACAGAAACAGTGAGAAAAATAAATGTTCATTGCTTTGGGAGGCTAACTTTTTTTTGGGGGGGAGGCAGTTCTTTTCTTTATACAGTAATAGATAACATACATATATTGATTATTTTTTGAATATGAAATAAATCTTGCATTCTTAGGGTAAACTTCATTTTACCACAGCCTGTTGTCCATTTGTATGCCATCAGATTTGATTTACTTATAATTTATTAAGGATTTTTGTGTCTTGGTTCATGAGAGATATTGGTCTGTATTTCTTTTGTTACATCTTTGTCAGGTTTTTGCACAAGTTTTATTATTTATTCAAGTGTAGTTGACATACAGTGTCAGGTTTTGATAGTGGAGATGGGCTAGCCTCATAAAATAAAACCCCTTCTCCTCTATTTTTAAAGAATTTATATAAGATCCATATTATTCCTTCCTTAAATTTTGTAGACTTCACCAGTGAACCTGGACTTTTCTTGTATTAAGCCTTTTTTCCTTCATTATAAATTCAGTTGTCTTATGTACAGGGTGGGGCAAAAGTAGTTTTACAGCTGTTCCTATGGAAAATCATACAATACTTCATAAATGATAACACAAGAGTAGACTTTGTGTTTCAGGAACTCACAACGGCGAACCTACTCGTGCCCCACCCTGTATATAGAACTATTTAGATTTTGATTCTTTTTAGGTCACCTGGCCCCCCTTCTCCAGTTTTAAAGATAAAAAAACCCACGTAGATGGGTTGAGTATTGAAAGAAAGACAATGGTTATATAACAGGAATTCCTACGGCTGCGGAGCGGAACCGGGCGAGGCCACGGAAAAGTTGCATGCTGTGTGGAAGTGTGTGGCCTGAGAAGAGTCCAAGAGACGGTAGGGAAAGACAGCATTCAAGAGAGAGTCAAGCTGGAGCAGACAAGTGAAACATTTTAGGACTTTTTAGGGTGCTAGAGAGTGGAGAGTAGGAGACTTTAGTAAGTTGCTAAGGCACTGGCTGGGGTGGGTCAGTGGATTGAGTGTCAGCCTGCGAAGCAAAGCGTCGCTGGTTCAATTCCCAGTCAGGGCACATGCCCGGGTTGCAGGCCAGGTCCCCAGTAGTGGGTGTGTAACAGGTAACCACACACTGATGTTTCTCTCCCTCTCTTCTCCTCTAAAAAATAAATAAATAAAGTCTTTAAAAAATAATAAGTTGCCAAGGCCTAAATTAGATATCCTGATATCTTCCAGAGAGAGAAACATATTAAAATTCTTGTCTGCTCCATGCTTAAGGGAGACACCCCTTTGGGATACCATTATGAATGTTTGGGACACAGGGAGGGAGGCGTGTTCACAGCTCTGGTCTTGGTACCCTGCCAGCTCTGTCCACTGTCTCCAGCTTGGACACACCAGGCAGCTGGGCCCATGGCAGGAACGCCCTAGTTATTATTAATCTATTTTTATTCATTCGCCCCTAAACCGCCCAGCAGGAGACCGTGCCATTAACTCGTCTTGGTGAGACACAGGCGGAGAGTTGCAACTTCCAGGCCCAGGATTAGGGCTCCTTCCTCCGCAATGACAATATTGGCCCTAATTACGGAATGGCACACGGGGAGGGCGCTGGCAGAGTGGCAGAAGGATGCGGAGACAACAGGCTTTTGTGAGAAGAGAAGACGGCAGTCCTGATTGCTCACGTTGCCAGTATTTTTCCCTCACTTGGAGAAGTGACAGTTCTATTTTTCTTTTTTAACCTTTGAAAAAAAAAATACCCACAACATGCTTAACTCAGGAAAGCAACCAGCCTGATACCCAGACAATTGGATCGTTCTGTCTCTTTCGCAGCTGCCATTCATGGGTGTTAGTTAAGTCCACACCACCGCACACTCAGACTGCCCAGAGCAGGCGTGTCCAGACGCCCGGCTCTGCGGAAGGGGGCTCTGGGAGGTGAGGCAGGGCTGGACCAGCGGGACCGGGGCCTGTGAGATGGTAACCAAGCAACAGGCCTGCATCTGATGGGCAGGGCCACAGGGGGCATGTGGCTGGTCTGCAAGCAGAATCCAAAGCTGCAGCCTCGCAAGTGAGAGATCCTGAGGCAGAGCGCTCCGAGGGCCAGATACGCAGGCGGACAGCGCTCAGTGACTAGAGGTAAGGAATCCAGACAGTCGTGGGAAGCCCTGCGTTCCGCAGACGCAACCAAATGACAACGGAATCACCTTGATACAGAAGCCAGATCCCAGCCCACGGAGGAGCTGCACGAACACTTCCTTTAAAGGATGAAACCATTTTAATACTCAATAAATAACACGCAGGAACACTTAACAAAAGAAGCTAGACAATGCTTAGTGGGCACTAATCATAGGAAACAGGCCTGAAATTTTTTTAGTCAGCGAGGAAATGAGAATGGAAACCGCAGTGACTGTTTGACCGCACTAGGGTGGCCCACCTCGGAATGGCGCCACCTGTTGGCGAGGGTGTGGAGCAACTGCGGGGAATGTGAAATGGTACCACCGCTACGGAAAATTGTTTGACGCTTTCTCCAAACGTGAAACCTGGAGACATCTACCCTCTGGTCCAGTCATTCCATTCTTAGATCTTTCCCAAGAAAAGTGAAAACACATGTTCACAAGAAAAGTCCGTGAAAGAACATTCATAGCAACTTCATCCATAAAGAGCTCCAAACTGAAAAGAACCCGAATGCCCATCAACTTGAGGACGGGTAAGTAAATTTTCCACATGATGAGTTACAGTCAGCGATTTGAAAGAGCGAGCCGATGGCACGGGCGGCAGTTCACTCCCATGGGCGTTATGTGGGAGCAAGTAGAGGCCACACCCGCTCCTGTGCAACTCAATCAAGAACAGTCGAAAACTAACCCTGGGGGATGCAGTGCGGCTGGGGGTGGGGAAGGTGACTGGCAGGATGTGAGGGCACTTTCCAGGGTGAGGAAATGTTCTGTGTCTTGTCTGGGGTGGTGGATGCAAGCGTGCAGACAGTTGTCAAAATTGCCCTTTGCTGTATTCTAATTATATCTCAATAAAAAAGAAAGAAAGAAAGAAAGAAAAGCCATGGGCACACGGAGTCTCCAGGTCTAGGATGACAAATCCAAAGCCCATATACTGCTGCCTCTGACTTTGCTGCCCTGGCAGACATTATTAGTAGATTCCAGAATTCTGTCCCCTTGATCCTCCCTGGGGCTTCAAAATACAGCACAACGTAGGCGTAGTTCTCCAAGCAGCCACTATCAATCCGCCCATCTGGTTCCTTTTGGGTCTTTTCCTGGTCATGTAGAATCACGTCACATGTGTGCATGAATATCTGGGACGTCGATGAGTGCATCCACCCAAATCCATCTCTCTCTCTTCTGAAATAAACACCAGATCTCCCCTGGGGGCCTCCCCTCGCACCCCAGCTCTCGTGGGTGTTTAGCCCGTGAGTGTCAGTCAGGGGCGCTGACCCCACCTCCTCGAACAAGGGCTGGGACATGCCCCAGGCCTGCCCATGAAGCATCTCCTCTCCCCCCGTCCTTACTTCAGCTGAGCTCTCTGCTCCATCCAGGACTGTGTGTGTGCGTGTGTGTGTGTGTGGCTGGGGGAGGGGGCCTTCAGGGGTCTTTCTTCTGGGGTCACTAGGCTGAAGGATGGGAGCCTGGACCTCTCTGAGCTGCCTACGCCCAGGACCAAGTTGCAGCTGAACTTCCAGATCCTCCCCCCTGGACTTCACAGTTACAGGAGCCAATTCAGTTCTCCTTTTCGCTTAAAAGTTGAGTCTCTGCCACTTGTAAGGGAAAAAAACAACAACGGTCTGAGTCAGATAATATGCATA